CCTCAACATTTATGCCAAATTTCATTGTAGACTACAAACTCTAACATCCATCCATCTAACCTTTGGCATTTATAGTTAGTAAGATAAAAAGATACTAAAACACATCGGCTTGTATATAAAAATTAAATGAAACATGCGAATTTGCTCCCATTGAAAGTCGCCGGCGAATATTCTTAACGCATTTCCATTGATTATATGAAAATAAGTTAATTTAAAACAAACAAGGGTCAGTAACAGGGTAAACACACTTAATAAATAATTCAAGCCATGCAAAAATACATACTATCTCCAACATACGTGGTCCCTTTGTTAAATATGACCGAAATTTAAAAAAAACGTAATCGTAGAAAGTAAAAATTTATTTTTTAAATAATGTAATATAGATTTAAGTATAATTTTTTACCTTCATTAATTTTAATGAATACAAAGTTTTCCGTTCAACGCATTCAATATGTTGACGTTAAGATTCCTTTAAAATTATGAAAATAAATAAGCAACCGACATCTGATTTTAATTTACTTTTAAATGTAACAAATAACATTATTCATTAGGGTTATTGAAAAACTAGTTGTTTCCGTGCGGCTTCATCCGCATGAAATTATGAAAATTTTATTAACATATTGATAGCAAATGTCAAAATGACATGACATGACAAACCTTGGCAAATCTTCCTTGATGTTGACAGCAACTTATGGTCTCTTTCCCACATTAGGGTTTTTATCCAAAATATTTACCCCCTAAGTTTAATGGCGTGAAAATATATAGCCTAAAGCGTGATGTAAGTGTAGGGCTTTTTATTAAAAAAAGAATTATTCAAAAATATGGTGTAATTGCTGACATCTTAGGCAACAAAGAAGTGTGTGTTTACGCTTTATTATAATAATTACGAATACGTAGGAGTCATTGAATATCTGTTCGCTTAAGTTACAAGAACTGATACAGCGAAGGCGGGAACTTTGAATTGAAAGTTAGCTCTGCTCTGGAAGTAAGCCTTTGGAGTTAAGGCCGTGGTTTACACATCTTGGGAATTATCTTAGCTATTACTGGAAGTGGACATGTAGAAATTTTGTAAATAAATTATGTTTTAATATAATCTACACCAAAAGAAACTTATCTTATTAAGATAAAACACATTTTCAATAAGTTATTAATTTGATTGTTACAAAGGTTTCATGTAAAAATGTAAATTAAAAAATCTTAGTTTTTGTTACATTAACCTCAGTCTACACAACGCCATCTAGCGTCCGAATAACGCAACTTTGGATTCAAATGGACCTTTTTTGTCCTATGCTTAGAAATAAACAATGAACGAAAACTACGTTATACATCAATTTATAATAACTGTAGAAAACGTTAAGGCAAAGTATCCGCTATACTGAGAGCAATTAGTAAAGTTTAATAAAACAAAATAACTTTAGATGTTACCTTGATAGTTTTTAATAATGTAATTATTTTCATAAACAACTATATTACCTTTTAAGCCAACCTTACAGTTGCAGTACAACTAGCTACCGCCCGTGATTCCGTCCGCGTGGAATTAAAAGAAACAAAACTGCTTAGCCTATGTGTTATCTTTCTGACTATCTTCTACGTTTATGCCTACTACGTTTAGGCTACAAATCCTAACAAACATCCATCCATCTAAACTTACGCATTTATAATATTAGTACGAAATATCAATCGTTCCTAAACATTACTTACTCACAGATAAATTACCTTTCTAATGGTGAAAGGATTTTTAAAATCGGCCCCGTAGTTTTTACGTGAATACATACAAAAATTTCCCCTTTTTAATATTAGTGTACAGATATAGATTACAAAGACGTCCGCGTGGAATTAAAAAAAACAAAAGTAGGTAAAATGTTAAGGGTGATAAAATATATTTTTACAAAAATAATTATTCGTTTTTGCGGCAGAGTTCTGGCGTTAAACACAGTATGTTGTAACTAGCAATCGTATCCATTAAAAACTCATATTCTCGTATTTTAGGCGGTCGCAGACGGCTATGTTTAAAATCTAGTTAAGTCCGATCAAGATTAGAGTTCCAGTGAATCTTTACATCAACAAATTGCTGTTGTACTATTTTTCGCCACTTCTATATAACTAAAAAAAACTACATCTGGACGGTACTAAAAATATTTACATCTGGACGGTCTCCATAAACTAAACTAGTGATTTCCAAAATGGAGGTGGAACCTATAGGGTCCACAAGGCCCAAGCAGGATCCACGATCACTAGAAATAAAATATGTGGTCGTGGAATTGGAAATAGGGGTCCACAATAGTTTATTTCATTTCGATAATTTATGTTTCTTAAATCTTCCCTTAAACAGCGGAAAAACAATGTTTTTTGTCCATCGCGATTAAATGTTTTAAAGAGGTCCACAAGTAAAGAAAGTTTGGGAACCTTTACATAAACCTACGCATAAAACTCAAAACTATTTATGACGCAAAGTAAGCGCATATCAATTTTGAAGCCTAAACAAACAGTCTATTTCGCTACTGAACCCTCGGTTAGCACAGTAACGTTCATTTACATTGCCATCTCTATCTTTTGTAGAAAGCGAAAGAGATGGATATATGTTCTTATACAAGGCATTCGGTAATGGGGACCCATTATATTCAACGCAGACGTGGCGCTTAGACGAATATATTGCGGTTAGCGATTCGATATCCAATATACCGATCACATGACAAAGGGTATTCGGGGAAGGATTGTACAGGAAAAATGTAGAACATCATTATATTGATGCGATATTGTTTTACAAAAGATTCTTTTATCTCTTTTTCGTGCTTCTGATGGCTGAAAATGCGTTTCTATGATACAAACACTAGGGGAGGAGATTTCTACTACTTATAATGAATGCACACGGTGCAGTGTAAAGTAATTTTAGGTTTAGTAGTAATTTAAAAATAAAAAAAACATTTTCTTGTGAATGCTGTGTACGCCTGTAATCTACAGTATATTTGGTTGTGTACTTTAAACATGCAATTGGTGTTCTTTTCCAATAAATAAAATAAACCGTTGTTTGTTACTAGGAAAACAGCGGGAGACGACCCACGACAAAATAGTTAATACTTTATTTATTCTTTTAATATCTTGTCAATCAAGAATATTACGATAAAGTTACAGATTTGGTATCACTTTCTTAGATACATTGTTTTTCACTGGCGCGTCTGCGACTATACCGCGTGTAGTCAGTCGCTCACCCCTCAGTGGAAATAATCACTTATTAGAATCGCTTACAATTAGATAAATAAAATGCTCTTTTATTAATTCTTAATTGTTTTAAGCGCAATATCCCCGTTAGTTCTCTAAAGGTTTAATTAAATTAGTGTTTTCGACTATTTAATATTCATTTACATAACCCTTGTTTCAAATTAGCTTTTACCAGTTTCATTGTAACAAAATATGGTAATCGTACGGACATCTTTTATTTAAATTCTACATCTTGTGAAGTATCAGATGTTGGAATTTAAAAACGATTTTCAGTATTTAAAATAAATTATAACTAAGTGTAACTATTTGCAAGTAAAACAGAGAGCTTATCTCGAATTTTTGTGAGAAAGTTTGCGTAATGTAATCGACATCTTATTAGATTTGTCCAGAGTATCGGGCGTACAGTCAACTATCAAACGTCATACAAATTTTATCGTTATGTTATGATAACGTCTACGCAAATCTCACAAAAATCCTAGTAGACCTTTCGACATGAAACGTACAGCTGCGGAAATTCGCGATGGGCCACTTACAGAAAAAATACTTTGTTCCTTGGAAGAAAACTGACTCCGCCTCATCTTACAAATAAACAAACTTTTTAAAAATGCTACCTTTTCGCAGACATTTAGGTGCTTCCTATTGATTATTGTTTCTTGTCGTAATTGATGCAATGAGTACAAAACGTTCAGACGACTGTAGGTTTTAAGGAACACCGCCAATTTTCCCGATTGTACCTCCGAGTACCAAAACATCTAAGTATTTAGGAACAAAAAATCATAACTTATTAAAACTTTCGTGAGACATTATGCTATGTAATTTATAACACGGCTAAACTCACGTGGGAACTTTCGGTGTAGGCACCGACCAGTTTCAGACCAGGGTCCTTCTTCAGGGTAAGTAGTTATCGGTTACGGTGACCGTCGTCGTTTATGACCGTGGCCGATGCCCGAAAGTTCCCACATGAGTATAGCCGTGTTATAAATTATAACGTAAAATCTGTTCTATTTTAATGCCATCGTTTTTACGTCATTAAAATATATCAATATAATTTAGAGTTCAGTACATTCTTTGTTACTGGAAGCGACACACCAATTCTTTCTATCTATTGTCTACAGCTACAATGGATCAGTCATTAATCTTGTAACAAAACGGCAACAAATAAAACATAAGAAATGGATGACGCGCTAACAAATTGCACTTTGTATTTATTTATAGCATTTCAATTATCGATTCTAATACATGTCAAATTACTACAATAAACAAAACAAACAAAAACCCCTTTGAAGTTGTAGAAAAAAGTACTAAATGTAAATTCTTAAATTCTCTTTATGGTATTATTCCTATAATATTTTTAAAAGTTTTTTTCTAACTTAAACTGAACTATGATTGACTAAAAATCATAATTTAACTAAATAGACACTAACAGTGAACAGTTAAGAGTGAACAATTAATAATTTCAAAGAAAAATATACCTAAATATACGAGCTAACTCAATAAATAATTAAAAAAGTTTCAAGTAAAGTATTTTATATTTAAACTGAGAGTATTTAAGCAAAACTTAGTAAAATTAGTCAATTACTTATCTGTCATAGTATAAAGAGAAATTACTCTTAGTAAAGTCCAAAGATTTTCATTATTTTCGTAGAAACTATAAAGTAGCGAGTGACTAAAGGTGGGATTCTGCAACGCGGCAAACGGCGGATGACACTTGCTGAGAGGGAGAGATATAATCAAGTTAATAGACGATCTCAGCCAAATAGTTATAAATATTGTATTTACAGCAACTCTTGTAGCGGCCCAAACGAACCTCCGGCCGCACGGGATGGACTTGATTCGCCTCTTGTCTTATAAACCATGGATCAGTTGGGCTCAAACTCCCCGAGATCGATTACAGCGTGCCAACATCCAACCTCAACAAGATACCAATCTTGATAACCAGGACAATGATGATCCTGTTATCGAAAATGATGATATAAGGTAAGTCCAATTTTTTTTAATGTTTTCGTGGTCCAATATAACAATGCTGAAAATAAAACAAACGCTGTTACTTGAGTTTGAGTTTAACATTGAATGCTAACTGTTGCTCGCGACTACATCCGCATGGATGTAAAAAAAATATAAAAAAAATTAGCCTATGTTATGTAGTGATAACGTAGAATTTTAATGGTGAAAGATTTTTTGAAATCGGCCAAGTAGTTTTTGAGTTATAACAGTACATACAAAAACACAAAACCCCAAATATTTTCTCTTTATAATATTGGTATAGATTGAATTGTCTATCGTACAAAGATCACAATAGTTAACGTTGGCTGTACGCGAGGCAATAAAAAAAACTGCGGACTGAACGCCGACTACAGAGCGTGCGCATCTTTGACTAAACTATCGTATAACTACTGTGCGATTGTCGATTGTTTCACAGCCAATTCAACTGTTTAGTTGTAGAAAGTAGTGTCCTCCATATAAGGTCATAGAAGTCAACTGCCACTGCCGACTGTTAAGAATTGTTCTTTGTTATAGTGCTGAGACTGCGAAGCGTTCCGCAGTTGCAACGGTGTTAAACGGCAGTCGTCGCCGTCGGCAGCCGACGCCCGCGCTCGGTAAGGCTGTCACGCCGTATGTCGGCGTTGGTAAGCAATACCGCCGGTGTAATATAACACTTTATTAACCAACCTATAACCTAAGTGGAGGTACACCGGTAGAGGTAGAATCTAGAAAGAGATGGATTGCGTGAAAGGTGATATGATGAAGGGAGTGATGACAGATGACGTATGATAGAGTTATGTAGAGGACAAAACCTTTTGTGCCTCTACGGGAGTAGGATAAGGAGGATCATGATGTATCGATAAGTGTATCGAAATGTTCGAGTTAAGGGCCTGTCCCACCAAATTGTCTGATAACAAACTAACGTGTAAAATGTGATGGAAATATCGGATTTTGTTCCCTTATTTGATAGTGACGTTATTTTTTAAGCTATCTGAGCCTCTATCAGCAAGTGGTGGGACAGGCCCTTAATCTAACAAAACTGAATAAAAGATAGCAAATACAATCGGAATCGATATCTAATAGAAGATCCGAAGATCTAAGTAATCATAAACAAAGACCAAGTTTAATTATCCAAGGCCCTACATCTACAAATAACTTATTTCTCCAGAACAACTTTCTCATATTATAATTGAGATGGGTCTTTAACGTATATTTAGATAGGTTAAAGTCTTTGTAAACTTTGATCTATAACATTGTGTAATTTATTAAAATTAATCATAGAACGTCGTGGGTTCGAATACCGCCATGTGCACATATGTACATAATTTACCCGACGTTCTTACGGTGAAGGAAAACATCATGCCTGCACATATCAGCGAAGAAATTCAAATGTGAAGTCAACCAGCACTTGGCCAGCATGGTTGACTATGGCCTAGTCACCCTAACTTATTAACGTCTTAAAGCCCCTCAGTGGGGCCGTATAGTAGGCTGGTGATGATGAACCATAGACCGATAAAGATATCAGACCCGGATATAAGTCAAACTAAATTATTACAAGCAGCTTTTATAAATGTGAGAGTAGCTACAAGGTCCTTAAAGTGGGGTAAAACGAATCCAATGTGAGCAAGGGTGACCTTATGCGTTAAGTTCTAAATTCTGGACAATTTAAAATAACTACGTGAATAATTATTTCTATTTCCTTTTTTATTATTATATGTACATTTATTTTCTTAACATTGTTTACTTTTTCTTTCCATTACTATTGTTTTTTGACCGACTTCCTAAAAGACGGAGGTACTCAATTCGTCTGTATGTTTTTTTTTAATTTTTTTTATGTGTGTTACGGCATAACTCCGCCGCTAGTGGACCGATTTTGATAATTCATTTTTTACATTCTGGTATGTGTTCAGGTGTGTTAAACGACATGGACGATTTCTTCGACTTCCTCCGCGATAATATGGACGGCCTCAACATGATACCATCGCAACGCACCGATACATACCGGGAGACGCCGAATGTCCTCCAAATACCTCCTGCAGGTGAGTTAGATGATACACTTATGGCCTGTTTCCAAGCTAATTTTAACCATTCGTTAGTTGTTGGTTCGGTAAATTAATGAAATGCGTTTCCGAACGACATAACCTGGGTAATTTATATCTAACTATATTAACACTATAAAGACGAAAGATTTGTATTTTTGGATTTTTTTAATTGAAATACCTTAAAAACTAATGGATCGATTAGTTTTTAAGGTATTACAATGTGTATTCTAATAATGTAGGCTGAATTTTTACTTTTTTTTTTAAATTCCACACGAAGGAAATCACGAGCAACAGCTAGTGATAAAAAAATTTGAAATTTGGCAACCCAGTGTAAATTATAATTTACACGAGTTACTTATTGTTACATTTATAACGGAAACCTTATTTTTCATTCATGTCGTAGAGTCCGTAGCATCATTAGTTGCACTAGAAACCGGCCCTAAGTCTGACACTAGTCTTATTCTCCTTTCGGGAAGGGTTCCCACTTTGATACGAAATGGATGGGGAGGAGAGGTGGACTGTGTGTGGAGGGGATGTAACGGAAATATCCTGTCAATGTATGGCTCCATATCTGTATATCTACGAGTATACTATTATAATAAAGCGCAAACACACACTTCTTTGTTGCCTAAGATGTCAGCAATTACAGCATATTTTTGATTAATTCTTTTTTTAATAAAAAGCCCTACACTTATGTCACGCTTTACGCTATACATTTTCACGCCATTAAACTTAGGGGGTAAATATTTTGGACAAAAACCCTAATATGGGAAAGGGACCATAAACTACAATAAAATAAGGTGATTATAATTTCATGCAGATGAAGCCGCACGAGAATAGCTAGTTGTTTTATAAAAATAGGTACAAGTTGATTTACATTATTACTTGTACAAAGTAATTTGCATGTGAATCAGAAATGCTCACTTGAATAGACATGTTTATCCCTTGGTAATTTACTTTGATGAGATATAGATAAAAAAATATCTCGATCACAGACGGAAATACGCACACAGTTTTAGAATTACATCAAGAAGATATTTTTATTGCAACATATGCAATTTTTGTGGCCTTTGCTGCCAGTTGCTGGAATACTTCGGGACTTAGTTGTGCCCACGCTTTTATTTGTATTTATTTAAACCATTTGCTTCATATTGATCTAAAAATCGAAATATAACCTATATTTTATAGAGCATTTTTTTCAATTTTCAAAATTATTACAATAATTTTCAGTCTCTACTTAAAAAAAATGAACAAAAGAAATAAGTTGGGTTTAATAAACATAACAACACGTAGTTGTCCAAGGCATCTTCCTAGTACAAAAGGAAACTTTGATAACTCACGTTTTCGCAAGGCTCTCACGCATTTTCCTACTTCCCTCTTGTGACATGTTTTGATATTAAATGAGGCTTGTTCTGCAGGTCAACATAAGTTAAGGCTGTAAGCATATTTAAGTTAGTGTTGAATTTTAAAGAATGATAAAAATCTATTTAGTTTCATTTTGCATTTCAAACCAATGCTAGTGAATTTAGTAAAATCGAATACATGAAGTTCCTGTGGGGGACTCAGTTGAACTGATGGTTTTAGCTGAAGTCGAACTTCCCCCTTAGAGAAAGCAACATTCGATTATCGCAATCGCTGATCGGAAAATCAAAAATATCAAAAAAACCAAACAATAACATTTGATAAGTCACGAGATTATCACATATTCACTCCATTTTGACATTATTTGTCGATTCTACTAACGATATAGTTAATCGAAAGTCACTTTGTCGAAGGGGGCTGTGTGAAATCATCTTTGAACAGTACTGACATGTCTTATTTTTAGAATACGATAAATAAATACAAGATAAATTAAATTAAACCAAAATATAAAAACGTCTACACTCATATATTAATCTAGAATCAACACCGACTAGTTTTAAGCCTATTTTTGACCGACTTACCAAAAGAAGGAGGTACTCAATTCGTCTGTATGTTTTTTTTTTTAATTTTTTTATTTGTATTACGGCATAACTCTGCCGCTAGTGGACCGATTTTGATAATTCCTTTTTTATTCGAAAGGTTGTGTTTCCAGGTGGGTCCCATTTTTTTGTTAGATTTTTGGATTCAAAGACTACGACATAGTTAAATAGTTTAGCTCAAAATCGCGTGAAGAAATTTGGGGTCTTTGTTGCTTTCTTGCTTATTTTGATGTCGGTCGAATAACTGTGATGTCATAAATGGTGTTATTATCATTCCAGGTGCGGGCGGGTCTGGAAGTGGCATGAGGAGACTGCAGGCGCTGCGCCCGCTTCGCCCTGCTGGCAC